TAATTCCCCAGCCCTTTACCCTGATTTTAACCATCACAAGTGAAGGCCTAACCCTGACCTGAGCCTAATTCTAATCTGAACCCTAAAACTAAGTCTTAACCCTCAAACAACTCTTTGAAGGTGTGTCAGAAAGTGAGAACTAGTCAAAATCTAGTCACTTTCCCAAAATGTCCCCATACCCAAGGTATAAAACTCAAACTGGTCCTCACAATGTAGAGCTACACACGCAAACTTCCCCGTCCCCCGCATGTTGCTTTCTCACCTCTTTGGTGACGTTGTCTTGGACCAGACTGTAGAGGGGCACCACGCGGCTGACTTCCAGCAGCACAGGGATGGGGGAAGGCTGCTCTCCGCTCCTGCCGTTACCACTGCGGCCTCTCCCTGACACTCCTCCCATCATGGTCTGGTGATGGCACAGGTGGCAGCCAGCTGGACAGCTGCCCTTCTCCTCGCAGCGGATCTCCACGCCACTCACCATGTCGTCAGACAACAGCTGGCTCTTCTGCAGCGCAGACAGGTAGCTGATGAAGGGAACCGACTTCAGCTCTCGCCGCCCTCCTCCTCCGACCCCTTGGTCTGTTGCCTCTGGAGGGGTAGACAGGAAAGGAAGGGGGGATACGTGGGTATAGGTAGAAGGGGGGTGCAGGTAAAGATAAACAAAGTTAACAACAATAACATTCATTCCAGGAAGTGTGCATTCACACCACAGCTATTTATTTCACTTCCAATGCATTTTTTTTCCAAATTACAAAAGCAATCCCCTCTTCCTTAACTTTCTCTTATCTTTATTATTTCCATAAAGCAGTTTATGAGTTTTAATTTGGACTAGCAAAGAACATTCACAGTCCCTCAGTTGGATAGAGTATCCGCATCTGGATTTATTTTGCTTGCTGCCAAGGAAAAGAAGAAAAAACAACAACTAATCCCTTACTGTCATCAGCTTTCATAGACAAAGGATGAATGGGAGGGTGGAGGGAGGGGTGTCACTAGCTTCTTCTCCTGAGTGTCAATTACCACTGTTTGATGTTCTCACTGGAGTTGGGGAGGGGGGGATTCTTTCTCATCATTTCCTCTTTCAGCGAGAAAACAACACACCATGCGGAGAGAGGAGACAGCGACAGAAGCAGGGGAGGAGTAGAAACAGGAGGGAATGCTACTTGGGTGTTGAGTGATTCATTTGGAGGACACATCAGGCCACATGTTACACTGGAGCAGATCTGCCATCTGTGCTGATGTGGCAGATGTGCTTTTGTGTGTATTTGCTTTACAAGAATAGAAGAAACACATGCGAGTCTTCCAAATGAGTGATACAGGATTCTTTCTAATGACAAAAAATAAATAAAAAAGTGTATTAAAGTTGGGATTACTGGGATGATGTGCCACTGAGACATTGTGCATCATCAGTCAGTGCTACAAAATGTGGAGAAACCATAATGTGTGATTGGGGTTTAAAACACTGAATATGGGTTACACTTCAATGTAGGTTGTTAGGGTATTAGAGTAACCTGCAGATTAATGAACCTTTTTGTCCGAATGAAAATAAAAGACAAGAATAAATGTATAAAAATACAAATGTCTAAGTCACGATCACCGCCCCCCCACTCATGTAGACACACACACAGATGGATTGATCAGATTACTGATGTTTACATTATTACATAAGCGCATATAAAACACACACATACACTTACAAACCAAGAAATAACAAGGGTGAGGGTTAGACAGCAGGAAAAGCCCTTGGAATTGTTCAGAGTGTGTTAATTGAGATCAATTAGGTAATAGTTTTAATAACAGTGAAATCAAATATCCCTTAAGTATTCTTGGTGGGAAAAAGACATACAGTGCATGAACTATAAACTACCGTGTGTGCGTGTTTGCGTGAGAGACAGAGAGAAACAAGTATTAATGTGTCGAAATGTGCCAATTTCCCTTGGAGTCCTGTAACATCAACACTGTTAAATAAGTTAACCCGAGACACGAAAAGGGTGTGTAAACTTTCAACCTTTCATTTCTCAAACACATACACAAGCCAACACATGTGCTTTACCAGCGAGCATTTAACAGCTCTGAGAAAAACAGAACACAGGTGGGGATGTTTTCAAGGGCTATTTTCTAACTAATATTATCTGCAGGGGGAAAAAAATCACGGAGGTGTCACGTTGACGTGATATTTCAACCATGCAAATACTAAATACAAAAATTATCTAATTAAAGTGTATTTCGAACGAGTTTTCAATTTCAAGCCAAGTAAAAGAGAACAAAATGCCTCAATGTAACAAAAAGTTTTGTTTCTTTTTGACATTGCAAAATCACATGATTACAGATCATGTAAAACTGTTTAAAAAAAGGCCGTGTTCTGTTGAATTGTTAAAAGACTAAAATGGCTTTACATTAATTATTAACATGCACATATAAAATTCTTAAATTATTCATTTACATACTTTAGCATTTAAATGAAATTAAATGATGAAAACAAGAAGAGAGAAGAAAGTAGCTAAAAGTAAAACTAATTTTAACGTAGCTGTTTTACTTATTTATTTTAGTTAACTTAGCTTTTTTCTATCTGAACAATATGTAACTCACTAATTAAAAGTACATAATACTGATTAGAAATGCAAAATTTTAAGACAAGAAAATGGTTATAGCTAAGAGACTAGAAGACTACATAACCAATATCAAAAATTAGATGGCAGTATAAAATGTATTATTGTAACAAATATATAAATATATATAATAGAATATATTGGTATTAGTTAGAAAAGAAAAAAAACAATGATGCATAGTATTCAATTATTCAATGTAAAGTGCACCTCAGGTCACTGGAACTTCCAAATTCCCAGAAAAAAACATTAAGGACTTATGTCCTAAATCGTAGCTATGATCCTGTCGTGTACGTTTGTGTGTGAGAGGGGATTGTCTGTACATACATCTATTTATGTATGTCTTTGTGGTTTACTCCCTGTGTGTGTCTATAAGACACTGGCAAGCAGTTGAAAGGGTGGGTGGTAACTTCAGTATGTAAACAGGCTCAAGGGGTGGCCCAAGAGCCCAATTACATGCATTTCTTGAGGCAACACAGACACAGAAAGGAGCTGTCGTCACCCAGCTCTCACAATAAAGCCCTGTAGGTCAGACTGGCTGTGGCTAGCCAGGCTAATTCACTCTTTAATTGATTTCACCCATGATGACAATTGTTTACATCTATGTTAACAGCTGCATTTCATGAAATATTTGGCACTGTCAAGTATTTATGGGAAACCAAACGTAATTAAGGCAATATGATTGTCAAAGTACGCTGACATCAGTGCCTTACTTCCTGCACAATTTTGTTTTCTCTGTTTCTGAATTTACTGTTGGATTTTTACAACTTCTTCTTGGTTTGGTTAAGTGTCTTTACAGTAAATCACATTTTGAGCCTGGTATAGTAAGCTGATGTAACATGTAATTTCCTTCTGGGATCACTGAAATACTATGTCTGTGTGTGTGTTTATTTGTGTTCGTGCAATGTACAGTTTCACTGAAATTACCAAAGGCGACACCCTTCACAAGGAGAAATTAAATTGGACCACATGTATTTTTGTGCCGTTATAGGGGTGGCTCGTCATTTTGCCTCTTTATAAACTATGACAGCTCTTTTCTGTGTCGAATGAATGTGATGCTTATGCAACACTTGCCGGTCATCAGACACAGTGAAGAGATGAATGGAGTGAATTTCACTGCCATTGATCTTGTACTGCCTTTGTTAATTAAAAATTCTTTCTAGACTGGTTGTTGTATAATTACTCATCAGGGACACAGCCCCTCTTGCCAGGGTTATGTTGCCCAGGCAACAACAACAAAGGTGTCAAATATCTTCCATAGCAATTTAATACAGATGTTGTTGATATGGTTGCTGTTGGCATTGTTGTTTTTGCTTAATTAAAACAGCAGCAAGTGCTAGATGTACCACAGACCTCCGATTTTAACAGGCCCTTGTTATATCTAGATCATACTCATTAATTTTTACACACTTATTTTTAACATAATACCCGTATAATATGAGGGGCATATACTATTAAAATGTGTAGTCTGTCTGTGAGTAAGCTTTACCATTAAAACTGAAACTTGTTATACCTGACTGTGAAAATTAACTTGAACAGCATTACCCTGCAACATCCATTCAGCAGGATAAAATATAAAAACATGTTAAATGACTAAAATGCATTTTCCACATTTCTTTAAATCATATTTGTTTTAAAATTGCTTATCCAAAGAAAAACAGACAATTTCTTAGATGGTCCTAACCCCCATACTTAAACTCACTATGTGGGAGAAGATGTTGCATGAACATCTTCTAGTGGACTTACTCTGACATCTAGTGGTCCATCTCTATATTTACTGGCTTACGTTTAAAAACTGCAAGAATTGATCAACATCTGGATGTTTTCAAATGCAGCTGTAGCCTATGGGCAGTACTTAAGGTTCTCTCTGTTACACCCATTTTCTAAGTTACAGGTCTGTTTACTTACTCACTCAAGTTAACAAATCTTACATGTTTGACTATTTGCAAGATAGACGGATAGATTCAATGACAGAGTTCGTCTTCCCAGTGAAAGTGACAACTGTTTCCTTTCAGGCTAAGTTACATTATATTTAATAAGTATGAAACAAATCACTTTCTTGATAAAATCACAATCTTGATAGGAGGACTATAGGCCATTTAAAGTGGGTACTGTGCAAGAAAATCAATAAAATCCAATTTTCTTGACAAAAACTTTTGCCCCCTGTTCCGTGTGAATGACGGAATTTTGTGAACCAGTAAAACCCCATGAACTGCATCAGGACCATGGCATGGACCATGGCTGCATCGCCGGGACGCCGGAGTGCTCGTGTACAAGCCTACACAGCAGCCAATCAAAACAACCGTCCGGCTCGGAGCTGTGCGTATTGCGTAATAATATACCGGGTGCGCGCACGTGACGTCGTCAACACTGCAGTCTCTCACTAGCAGCTGCAGTAGCAGAAACACAGCACGCCCATCAAAACCTCTGTACTTCCAAACAACTGACTTTGGAGAAAAAAGGTAATGTTTTAAAGCAGAAACGTCTAAAGAGACACAGCACGATGAGCCGCACATCTTATATTTGAATGCACGTTCATCGAAATCAGCCCTGTCATGTTGTTGAATAACATTGTCGCGTTGTGTTTAAGGACAGCGTTAACGTTTCCTGTCATGTAGAGAGGCCTCCGATTTACTTGTCCAAAATTGGACAATTCACAATGTAGTTCGTTTAAAGTCTGTACTGGAAGGTCATCCTATTTTTAGGCAACACAAGAGCATGATGGTGGCGACTAGATATAACCTAGTTAGCTTGCTTATCACATTGCTTGTCATTAGCGTTGCGTGGAAGGATCGTGTGTCTATTAGCCCAGTGATACAGTAAATAACAACAACTAGTCAATTAGCTTCCTTATCATTCTCATCGCTTCCTTATTGTGGAAGCTCGTTTTCTTTGCTAGCAAGAGGATGTAGCCAGTTATAACGAATATTAGCGTTGCTTAGTGAATAACATTCTCTGTTGAGTAACGTTAAATTGTTGTCGTTATTGAATGGTATCCCACTTCTTAACTGGCCACCCAATAAGTCATTTTCGGGTTCTATTTATGTCAGCTACACTGCGACAACTAGCTACTTTCAAATAGTGAAGGACTAGCTTGCAGTGCTAGTTATAGCTCGTCACATACCTATTAATTTCCCTATCAAATAAAGCTGCAAACTAGGCAACTAGCGTTAGAGTTGTGGCAGTGAATGCATCACATAAGCATCTGACTTCATCGGATGATTTAGATATCCTTTTCCTATTGCTACAATATTCTGCTGCATCCAATATAATATGCAACTGAGGCATGACAAATTGAACATGTTCACATAGTTTTTGCTCACGAGTTATTGACATAATTTTCTCACTCTAAGTAGAATTTCACACAGAATAGTGAAATATTGAAAACACACATTCAAAATATTTCCTTTTGTTGTTTTCTCTCACCCAAGGGAAGGACCATAATGGCGTGGGCATCATCCCCGCTGGACCCAGACCTAATGAGGGAGATTCTTGAGTGCCCTATCTGCCTGGAGACTTACAACCAGGAACAAATGAGACCCAAACTCCTGCAGTGTGGTCACACAGTATGCCGGCAGTGTCTAGAGAAGCTGCTGGCTAATACCATCAACGGTGTGCGCTGCCCCTTCTGTAGCAAGGTCTCCCGTATGAGCAGTATTTCCCAGCTGGCCGATAATCTCACTGTGCTAAAGATCCTAGATTGTACTACGTCCTGCAGTGCTGCTGCTGCTGCCCTCATGTGCAAGTCCTGCTGCAACCGTCTACCACGACAATACTGCCATGACTGTGCCATAGTCCTTTGTGAGCTCTGCAAAGGGGATGGCCACCTGCATCAAGGCCATTCAGTCCAGCCGATTAGGGTGGCTGCTGAACAGCGTCGTAAAGAACTGGGTGGCAAGCTTGCTGCTCTGCGTGATGTTATGGGTGAAATTCAGAAGAAAAAAGCAACTATTGACAACATTTCCAAGTCTCTGAGACTTAAGTACCGGGCAGTGCAGCAGGACTATGCTACAGCTGAGCTACGTCTTCAAGAGGAACTCAGCAGGTCACGAAGGACATTCACAGCTTCCATGGCAGAAGTGGAAAAGCTCAATGGACAGGTCCTGGAGGAGCAGACGTATCTTCTTAACATTGCAGAGGTAAAAGTGGTGTCCCGCTGTGATTATCTGACAATGCGGGTGAGGCAGAGTGACATCGCCTTGCTGAAGGATGATGGTGGAGACAGTGATGATGAAGAGCTGGATCTGAGGAGCAGCTTGCCCACCATGTTTCAGCTGCAAGAACCAGAGCTAGTCCAAACAGAGCACTCCAAGCCCGTAGAAGTGGGCCAGTTGACCACTAACACTTACACTGTCAATACAGATGACGAGGAGAGTGGGTTGGAGATTGCACTTGAAGGTGATGTAGATGGTGTAACTGGGGCAGCAGGGGCTATCGGTGCAATGGGGGCTCCAGTGGATCTTTACCGAGATATTGACATGGTTGCAGCTGTAGAGGAGGCAGTGTGTGGTTCACCTGGCAGCTTTAAATCAAAGTCCCTGGATGCAGGTGGAGGATCCCCTGGAGGAGCTGGAGCAAGTGCAGGGCCCCCAGTCTGCCAGTTTGTGAAGAAGATGGGCTGTAAGGGAACTTTACCTGGCATGTTCAATTTACCTGTCAGCATCTGTGTAACACCTCAAGGTGAGGTGCTGGTGGCCGACCGTGGGAACTACCGTGTTCAGATATTTAATCGCAAAGGTTTCCAGCGTGAGATCCGCCGCAACGCCAGTAGCATTGACAACTTTGTCCTGAGCTTCCTTGGGGCTGACTTGCCTAACCTAATCCCCTTATCTATTGCTGTCACTCCTCAAGGTCTGATTGGGGTAACTGACAACTACGATAACTCAGTTAAAGTCTACACTATGGATGGACATTGCGTAGCTTGCCACAAGAACCAACTGATTAAACCCTGGGGCATTACTGCCATGCCATCGGGCCAGTTTGTGGTGTCAGATGTGGAAGGCGGCAAGCTGTGGTGTCTAGCAGTGGACCGCAATGTGGGTGTGGTCAGCTACAACCGACTGTGCTCTGCTGTGCGGCCAAAGTTCGTGACATGCGATGCAGCTGGAACAGTCTATTTCACCCAGGGCCTGGCCCTGAATTTTGAGAAACGTCACAATGAGCCCCACCTGGAGGGTGGCTTCTCCATTGGTTCAGTGGGTTCTGATGGTCAGCTGGGCAAGCAGCTCAGCCATTTCTTCTCAGAGACTGAGGACTTCCGCTGTATCACTGGCATGTGTGTGGATGCCAATGGGGATTTGCTGGTAACAGACAGTGGCAGGAAAGAAATCCTCCAGTTTCCCAAAGAGGGTGGATTCAAAATTCTCATCCAGGAAGGGCTGACCTGTCCTGTGGGAGTGGCGACCACCCAGAAAGGACAGCTGCTAGTGCTGGATTGTTGGGACCACTGTGTCAAAGTCTACTCATACATTCAGAGGAGGCACTCCTCCACTTCTTAGAGGAACAATCCAGTCTATCTGCACATGAGCGTGTGAGGTTTTGTAGGTATGTGTTGGTAGGTGTGTCGGGAAGTTTGAAAAAGGTAGAAACACACTGTCACATCTGTCACTTTAGTTTGGCTGCAGTCCAAACAATTTTCACTCCAGCTTTCTATGGGTTATTTAATGAATGTTCTAGTCAGTTTGGTTCAGTTTAAAGCCTACTGGATTTTAATTTAATACCTCAAATTAAAAATCAGCTACTTAAGCTGCCTCTTACCTGGTTATTTTAATGGATCACTGCACTAAAAACAGACCTTTTTATGTCGAAGAATCCTGGCACAAGTTGTCACATTACAGTAAGCAAAAGAAGCCATTGATGTCAAAGCTAATGCAGGCACAAAGTAAGGATGATTTTCCCTCGTCTATTATTGGCTGCTATATCCACCATTCAGCCTGACTCTCTGTGATGCATGGCTTTCACAGATTTGGCAAACAAAAAAAAAAAACACGGGAGGAAGAAGAGCAGAAAATGAACGTGTATTTACATATGAAATAAAGCATACCAAGGCTTTTGGCCTCTGAAGCACTTTATTATCGACACGTCACTGTTTCCTAATGTTAGGTTTTAGTAGCACAGACTAACATTGATGTTGCTGAATGCAGCTGGCAGCTTTAAAGTTTATCGTGCAGTTAGCTAACGGCAAAACAGTAACTACGTATCAGCATTCATCAAATTGCATTCAGTAACATTCAGGGAACATTATGTGTAGAATATTAAGTTACCTGCAGGAAAGAAGGTGGAACTATAAAATCACAGCATGTCCTGTGGAGGAAAGCTGGGTAATACTGGGCAATAGTAATACGTCATTTATTGGTCTTTGGGGTTACCTAAAATTTTTCACTGACATTGTCAGCACATTATAGGAAAAACAAAGACACTATCATCTGGTAAAGTAGTCTTATTGTTTGGGTTGCTGAGTTAATTCAATCAGAATTAGGGTCACTGATGTTTCATTTCTAGACTGCATTATTATCATTATAATTTTTTCTGGTAGTTATTAATACTGTCTTGCTAGCCTGTGGACACCAGCCACAACCTGAGTAACTGGTTTAGAACAAAATGGAGCAGTGTATCTGCGGCATTGACATTTTCAGAGCAAACATACTAACATCTATTGTCTGGTCCACAAAGCCTATTGTCTGCATATGTCTTCTTATTCAACCTCCTGCTAGTGACTTCCCAGCCACAGCTTCCCTTACTGGGTCACACAGAGGCAAGTTGAAATAACATCTGCAAGATGAAATTCTTGTCATCTAATCCGGATCCTATTCCAGTCATGCATCTCACCTCAATTTCAGGCCTCTGCATCCCTTTCTGCCTGCTTTTTTGTTTTAACCTGCAGCATTGAGGTTAGTGTTAAGCGATTTTATGTATGATCACAGACACTGTAGCTTCTCTTTCTATTCACCATCCAGCCCTACATGGATATATCTTTGGCACAATTTAAGTCAGTGAATAGATGACTAGATGGTTTGCTGCAACTGTCAGACAGAGCTGTGTCCATTAATAAAAAAGTTGTGTCCATTAATAACAGTTGCAAAGTTCTATGGTCCCAGATGACTTTTGTAGCTTGCAAGGCCCTTAAATGTGCCAGACTGGGTCCCTCGGCTCTGTTTGTCCTATTACACAATTGTCTTCACATTACTTATGTTACTATGCCAGTACAACCAACACTAAATAACTCATGCACTAAGACCACATTAAGCATAAGGGCACAGCAGACATCTACAACCTGAATAATGTTTACAAGCTTTGTTCAAACCCAATGTTCATTCCAGAGAACTTGTTCCATTGCCTCTTTTTCCTCACATCTGGACTGTGGTTATAGGGGACAGGGACTGGCAGGAGTGTTCAGAATAGCACTACTAGGACAATGATGAGTGAAAACTCCAGCATCACTCACACACACACACACACACCAAATGTGGCTTTGTTACACTGGGATGTTGGTTCCGTGTCGCTGTGTCTCCCTCAGGTTTCTATTCAACACTAGACAACTGCAGCCTGAGTTCTCAAGTGTTAGATAGATATGGTAAAGACAACAGCCATATATAGTGTTTTGCTAGTTAGTGCTAGTGTTAGTTAAAAATGGGTCTCTATCAGCATGCATTTTATGTATTATTTTATCATGTAAATTAATTGAATTTTTGAGTCCATAAGAAGTATGAAAGAGATTATACTTTCAGGTAAAATAACAATAAAAGACACCTTTAATCAAGAAATTTAGTGGCCTAAATATGGGGAATCAAGTTAATCATTGAAACCCACTTAATAATACTGTATGTAACATATTCTATGTCCGTAAAGTCATAAATAGTAAATATTCCTGCTCTGAGGCAATACTTATCTTCCAGTCCAGGTTTGCTCATAAGAGCATGTTGCATACTAATTCAGCTTCAGCCTTAAAATTGAATAATTTCACAAAGCTGACCTTAACTCTGCACCTGGAGCCCTATTAAACAGTAACATACAAATACGCCTATCTGAGAATCAAATCGTAAAAACACATTGTGTATTTAATATTTCTACATAAACAAAAAGATTAGGAGAAAAAAAACCTAGAACTGAATTTTAAGTATCAGGTGAAGTCTGTCACAGTCACATTCTTGTGCTTTTTTTCTTTTTACATGATGTATTTGTTTTATTGTTAGGCCATGTTATATCTCAGAACTATATGAATTATGATTCATGATAGTCTCAGCTGCATGTCGACCTTACCATCAAAATATATTATTTTTTTCAGTGCTTACACTGTATTCATGTGGTCTATAGAAATAGTCATTACTAGCGTATATACAGACTTACAATGACATGAAAAACGCATAAAATGCTAGAAAAATCAAGTGTCCTTGTGTCAGTGTGCTCAACATCAGTGTCTCACATTATCTGAATATGTTTTGTTGTATGTCATTGGAGAGAAGTTATTTCTTTTGCATACTTCTTCAGAGTTCCACTCATTTATACTATTGTCAATGAACCAAACTCCCACATCCTACAGGTGTTTTGTCCTTTTGGAGGCTGTGAAATTTTACAATGTGTTGAACACATTACAGACATCTCTGTGTAGTCAAATTCATGTTTGTATTGTTGAATATCTGAGTGCAATAAACATTTATGAAACTACTGAAAAATAGAAAGCAAATTTTCTTCATAGTATTCTAACCTTTGTGTTCACTTATCAAATGATGTGCGTCTACCTTTAAAATTTAGATTTCTGTGTGATTCATATAGTGAAAGCAAACCTCTTGCTGCCATAATTGGCTGGCTGTAGAACTCCATTTGAACATATTGCATTCAGAGTCTTACTGAAGATAAAGTATCAATGAAATGTATGATCAAAAATAACAGTATTCAAGCAGCAGGATGCTCATTAATATATATTATATTATTGGATAAACATCGATGCAATAACGTTACCGATAGAGATCAAGCTAATTTTGTGTAGTTTAATCTAAAACAACCCTTTAAAGTAACTAGTACATAGAGATTGGAAGTAAATGAATGGAAATACTTAAGAACGAATAGCTCAAAGTTGTACAGCACTTGAGCATATGTACTCATTTACTTTTCACCAATGCTTCAAATGTACCACTGAAAACAGTATGTTTTCAGTCAGGTTTTATGTACTTTATTTAGTACAACTGCCTTCCCAGTCCTGGGTCTTTCATGCCAGGATAGGCACAGTATGTCATGGATTAGTAGAGTCAGGGAAATGCATGTTTTCATTTGATCAGGTGATTTTACCGATGTATCTCAGTCTAGATGTATTAAACTGAAATCTTATTCCTTTGTGTCACATGGATCCCGTACTTGTCATGAAGCATGCTGGCTTTGAAAACAGATTTTTAAATTACATTACTCATTAAGGGGCTGTAGGTGTTCAATCCTGATCCTCATTGACCCCAAATCTATTTTTCCTTTTTTCCCTACGAGGTGAGTAAGTGTGTAATAGGTTTTATTTTGAAACCCAGGTGCCAATCAACAACACTGAAAATCTTGACTGAAAATCAGCATCTTTTTGGATGACAAATAAACAGGATTAAAAACACCATCTAAATGGGACAGTGCTGCAAGATGCTTTTGGGATGCGGTTAAGTCATGATGTTTCATTCAATTCATGCAGCTTATGCAGCCTTTTAACCAGAAGGCGAATTGAGGGAGGATGAAGTCTTTAAACATAACCCAGTTTAGTCTGTATTCAGACAAAGTGTAACCCCTTCCTTCCCCCCCTTCCTGTTCAGTTATAGCAAATCCTGCTCTACTTCTCTTTCGTATTTGCAGTAGGTTGATTGCATTGAGGTAGAAAAGGTTCAGTTGTCCTGGTAACTCTTGATAGTAACCCCATCATATCTGAAATTCCTGCTTTCAACCTTTCTTGAACATGGTCTATTCTCTTGTGTACAAGGGTGTGTAGGAATCAGTGGCATCTAGTGGTGAGATTGCAGATTGCACCCAACTGAATACCCATTTTTCCTCATCCCTCCCTTTCCAAGCATGTAGGAGAAAATGTGGTGGCCATCAGGTAACGTAAAAAATGCAAAAGGCCCTCTCTGGAGATAGAGTTAGGTTTGTCAATTCTGGGCTACTGAAGAAACATGGCAGAGCGACATGGCAGGCTGCCTGGAAGGGAACCCACTCCCTATGAAAAATTAAGGGCTCATTCTAAGATAAAGAAAACACAACCATTTGTAGTTTTAGGTTAATATTATATTCCATTTCTGCCAATAGATCCCCCTAAATCCAACACACTGGTCCTTTAAAGTTTAAAAAGATATGTTACATAAATGTCGTGTGTGAGGATAGCATCTCCGTTCATCCCTCTAGAATTCAGCATTCATGCTTTTCTTTTGGCCTTTCTCCCTGTCCGTCAGCATGCTCACCTTTCTGGTACTGCAGCCAGAGCTGCTGCTGGGCCTTCTTGCTGGGGAAGTAGATGCTGCAGCTGAGCTCAGAGCCGTACAGGGCCTCCGACACGTAGTGGCTGCCGTATTGCTGGAGAAAAGCCAGCAGCTCCTCGCGTGTGCTGTCTGCTGACAGTGTCTTCAGCACTTTGGAAAAGCCTACCAGGTCAAGAAGGAGATTGATGTATGCGCAATTAATGTCAAAATCAAGATCCATCGAGAGCAGACAAAAGTAGACACATTGGTAGCTTGATAAATAGATGATAGTTGTTTGAATCACATGCTGTAACTGACAACAAAATGCAGAATATATATTAAAACTATATAGGCTGGGCAGTAAATGCAACACAACTTTTCTAATATGTACCTATGCAATGTTTTGTGATGCTAATAAATCAACTGTCATATTTTTCAGGCACTTACCTGCAGATAAAGTAATGGAGCTGAGTTTGACTTTGTACAGATTGCTGCGTACTCTCCACTGTTGAACCATAGGGTAGCCGACTGCCTCACTGAATTGGGCATCCCCTAAGAAAAACAGACAAGAGGAGGACAAGGAGATAAATTAAGACAGAAGGTAGTGGTATAGGAATGTCAATAAATACAACTATTTAAAACAAACGACTAAACTCAGATTCATAAAGAGCTGCCGAAGTTCAAAATGAATGAATAGATAAATAAAAACCATCATTTCATTTGAACAGTTTATTGCAGATCCATTGTTATCCATGATTGCCTTAACATCATTTATTATCACAGCCCATATCCCAGCTGCTCCCGGATCAATGGCAGATATACAGTGCAGCTCCAACTCCAATTGGATTGCTGACATTAGAAGTGAGAGCAATCTTGCCTTTCTCTGCAATTCAATTACCAAAGTTTCACACCAGTTTAGAACTAAAACCACAAAAGTGAAGAGCATAGAAAAAAATAAAAAATAAAAAAATAAATAAACTGCTTACAGGAACCTTGATTCTCTCCCTCTAGAAAGCTTTTGACACCTGAGGCATTCATGCACGGTAAAAAAGGGCAATTTAGTTTCTCTACGTGTGTCCAATTCTGGTAAAAGCAGGACCCCAGTAAAAAATGTTTATATATATATATATACCTCAGGGGGTCAATGTGGACTAAATACCAATTTAGCTAATGGAGGGATTAGGGAGCAGAGGTGGAGGTGCAGGTTTCAAGCCAAATATTTACGTGAGTCTGTCCCCACCAGGATGGGGTGGAACAGCCGAGAAAAGGATAAAAGGATAAAGGGATAAAATGGGAGGTTAAGTGTTAGAGTTTACAAGGTCCCGTATGTGTGTGTGTGTGTGTGTGTGTGTGTGTGTGTGTGTTAGATGGGGTTTAACAGCACAGTGGCACCAAAAGCATACTTACACACAAAGGACTTTGCACTCATATATTGCCACAAAACAGGCAATATATCAGCAACAAGAACACACTGACAGTTTGCATTTACCAGTTTCTATATAAAACTTGTTGTCTCCTCTCTCAGGTTTATATAGCGATGCTCATCTGGACAAATGATAAAATGGGTTTGGAGTCCGGAGCCTTAAAACTGATACATCGTTGAGGCTTTCCGTCTACATAATTCGTTCAAGATGAACGTGGGGGCTGCTTTTTGCTATTGGCTTTAATCAGTTCGGAATTTATTAAGCCATAAACCATGACTGGATCTCAGAGAGATAATAGAGCTGCCACTGAAAAATGCAATGAATCAAATGGCTCTCAACAATAGAGACAGGCGAGAAGGAAAAAAAGCACATATCCACTCACTTACTGTACACACACACACACACACACACACCAAACACTCACCTGTGAGGAGCTGCAGGTTGGGCAGGGGCTCTGACAAGATGCCTCGACACTGTTCCTCTACCGGTAAGGGGATGACCATGAGACCATCGGCTAGCTGGGGAAAGTCCTTAATGAAGTTGTTGTCCCTGAGAGAGAGAGAAAGAAAGACAGAAAGAAAGAAAGAAAGAAAGAAAGAAAGAAAGAAAGAAAGAAAGAAAGAAAAGGCAAACAGTTCTGGTATCACGTAGTCATTTTCAGTACACATACCAACGCACGGCTTGCTAACACCTAGAACAATAACCGAGGTCCACAAAGGTCCAGTAACTATTTGTAATAAAAGGTTAACAGCCCATAGAGGCTACCAAGCATCACACCTCTACTTTATTTATCTAAAGTTTGTACCTAACAGTCAGGGGTGCAGCTACACACTCTGGACTCATTGAAAACAACGGTTCACAACAAATATCTACAGTCCCTACATGTTCCTGTGGCCCATCCAGCCGCTGGCCTCCTGAATCATTCACAGACAGGGATTTGGAGATTTCTCTTGCAAGCGTTTCTATTATAATCTTTTATGTGCTGATATTTTCCCCCGTCTCCCCTGCCTCACAGAGGTTAGACTAAAGGAGCTAGGGGTCATCGGCTGCGTGTAATTATTGATAAAATATTTGACCTTTAAACGCGACAAGGTGTACCTGTTGTTTAATGTCTTGTCGTCATGGTAATTTGTTCCAGCCATGAAGCGACAGAGTTCCTCACCGTAAACAACAGTAGCATGGGCTACAAGGCCGAGTCGCGTGTGTGTGTGTGTATGCATGTGCGATGCTTGGCGGTGCAATAAAGACAACAGTTGTGTCCCCCTGTTTGAGGGCAGAACAGAGAGCTGCGACACAGATAAAAAACAGACCCCTTGGACTCTCTCTCTCTCTCTCTCTCTCTCTCTCGTTCTCTCTGCTGGAGACGATAAGTACAAGAAAGAATGGAAATGAGAAAGGAACTGTGAAATGTTGGGAGGGAAGGGCAGAAGGAGAGAATCCATATACTTTACTACAGAGAGAGGTAACAAAGAACACCCAGAAATACACAAACAGCTGATATTTTGAGGAGCGTATTAGCTCTAAACATGTCTTTTTTTTTTTTTTGCACCATATCCTTGTGGACAAATCACTTGCAAAGTAAATAGCAATTGTGAATGTTGAGCTCCATTTTTTGTTCAGGAGATAGACCGTTCTGGTTAAACCAAAGCAGCTGTGGTTCATTTCCTGTCAAAAAAAAAAAAAAAAAAAAGATGAGTTGTCTTCCTGCAGTCTGAGAGCATTGCAAGCAGCAGCAACCTATTTCCCATAATCCACTTTTATGGGACCAAGTCTCAGAGCACAGACCTTGCGCC